CGGGCCGGGGATTTAGCTCATTGGTGCAGTGCCTGCCTGGCAAGCACAAGGTCCTGAGTTCGATCCCTGAGAGTAGACAATGTGAAACAGTGTATTAACCTTTCAATACTGCTTACTTTCAACTTCTACCTAGGCTGGAAGAAGCAAAGGTACAAACAGAAAAAACAGTATAAACCAAACTCCTGTTATACTATAACAGATATGGCAAAATGGAATTTTAAGGTTTTTTTTAGAGACAAGTGACTTAACGAACTTTCTCAGGTCTAGGGCTTAAGCCATACCCCTAGAACCAATGGACAGACTATGCAGGGGCAGGGAGGGAGTAGAAGACAGCTGCGAGAGGTGCAGCCAGCCTGGAGTTGTCCACTACTGAACTGTATTCCCTCTCCCCTCTCTTCATTATTATAAAAGACCAATGTACACCAGGCACAGGGAGATGGTGATTTGTGGCACTGAGGCCCTGCGACCCCCTCAGAGCTAGTGTCAAATAAAGCCTTCTCACCAAACGTGGCCTCCCACGGTTAGTTTGGGAGTGGGGAGCAATCAGACCTGAGAGTTCCAACTTGAGTGGTTGGTAACAATATGACAAAAGGAAAAAAAGACAAATGAAAACTGCATAAAACTAGAAGTGTGGTTTTAAACATATCAACAAAGAATGGGGATGAAACCACACCCTTGTTAGGACTTAAAAAGAACAGCACAACAGAGACCCTGTGTCAGGCCTGGGTTTGAGCTATGCTCATGCCCTGAACTCACTGGAAACTCCGAATTCTTTACCACATGTACTTGTTTATTCAGAGCTGACACTCTCCCCTTTTTTTCTGTGGTAGGGGGAAACCCAGGGTTTCACTCATGTTAGGCACGTGCTCTATCAGCAGCTGCATCCTCAGCCTTCTTCTGAGACAGGTCTTGCTACACTGCCCAGGATGTCATCAAACTCACCACTCTCTTGTCTCAGCCTCCCAAGTAACAGGGCTTACAGGATGAGTATGACCCTTTTTAAAGATGCGATCATCAATAAAGAGAACAGTAACAAGAGGCTAGTGATAAGAGCTGAGACATTTCTGCAATTTTTACAGATGTGTTACAAGCTGTCACTGGGGTAACAGGATGCTTTTCTTACCCATAGTTAGCTTAGCTTTGAGTACACTGATTTGCTATCTCCAGTAATCTCCATCTTCTACAGGCCTATCAAAAATGACCTTTCAGGGCCAGGGATTTAGCTCAGTGGTTTCACTGCCTGTTGTGCAGGAGCAAGGACCCGAGTTCAATACCCGGTACCCAAAAAAAGAAAAGAAAACAAAACAAAAGACCTTTCAGCAAATGAGGAAGGCAGTGAAGCAGCCGCAAGTACTGGCATTATGATTGCTGCCCATTCACTGAATCCCAACGGGGTGACCTTCAAGGGCAAGAGGCCCTTCCATGGTTCTCATAAGGGAAGTTGCTCTCAACACTATTATCTTCGTGGGGAGAGTAGCTAATCCTTGTGTTAACTAAAATATTTTTATTCTTCGCATCTCTTCCTATTTTGCTTAGTGAACAGAAATAAAGATAAATACAACTGTTCCCATCTCAAAAAAACCCAAACATTTTAGTCATGCATGGTGGCTGGCGCACATCTGTAATTCCAGGACTTTGGGAGGCTGAGACAGAAGGACTGCCGTAAGTTCAAGGCCAGCTTGGGCTACACAGTGAGATCCTGTCTCCAAAAAAAAAAACTTTCTTTCAGTCCTAATATAGGTTAATATTATAGACTCTACTGCCTTAGACGTTTTTAAAATCTTCAACATACTACTCTCCTCTGCAGCACTATTGTGAAAATGACATTAGTCCTTCCTAGTACTGACAAATCAGATTTAGACTAAATTAAGGAACAAACTCGTTTGTAAAGCTATTTTATCAAAGACTCACAGAGACAATTCTTTAGACTTCACATGCAGTCTTGAAACACTGTTTTGTTAACAGGTCTCCAGGAAACACCACACACAGTGAAATAAACAGTACAAGTACGGAATGACTTCAGGAGAAAGAGCTACTGTTGATGTCTTCCCTTTAATAGTCTTCGGTGACCACTGCCCTGGTTTTCCTAGCAAACACGAGACTCTCAGGTGTACTGCATACCTACATGTGTGAGTGAAGGAAAGACAGTGGGAATGGAGCTATCAAATTTCTTACAAGGCAAAGAGCTTTAAGGCTGTTTTCACAATCTATATGTGAGGACAATTCAGAATGCTGCAATTCGATCTTGAGTTGTTCAACGTGATTTAGTTTTAACATCAAGGTTTTGAGTAGGCCTTCTGTCCTTTCCCAACTCCACAATCTGCTTAAACAATCCCCCATAAAAATAGAATTCTGAGTTATATATAATCAGCCTGCCTTGTCAAAGATTTTGGGCAGTTCATACAGTACTTAAGTTGTTAGTTTTCTCTCAGGAAGTATGTATTCAAAGTAATGGGGGAAAGATGCTAATAAAATGTAACCAGTAGTAAGCCTGTTCAGCTATTATAACAGCTACAGGTGGGACAGAGGCAGGGAAAGTCCCTTTATCAGGGCGGACAGACTCATGTCCTGGCCCAATGCACCCACTTAAGAATTAAAAGCAGAGGGCTGGGGATTTAGCTCAGTGGTTTCGCCACCTGCTGCGCAAGCGCAAGGACCCAAGTTCGATCCCCTGTACCAAAAGAAAAAGAATAGCAGGGCTGGGGATTTAGCTTAGTAGGACTGCACCTGCTTTGCAAGTGCAAGGTCCTGAGTTCGATCCTCGGTACCAAAAATAAAGTAAAAGAAAAAAAGAAAAAGAATTAAAAGCAGAGAGTGCCTATAGCAGTTTTAGGCAAACTTAGCTGACATGGGACTATCTGGATCCACCTGCTACTTGGTTTACCAAATCAAACATTGACAAGCCAAGGGCAGACAGACACTAAGAATGGCTTGAGAAATAACTCAAGATTTAGTTCTCTGAAACTCTGCAGTATAAAATCCTTTTTGGGGTACCGGGGATCGAACTGAGGACCTTGTGCTTGCGAGACACGTGTGATGCCACTGAGCTAAATCCCGGGCCCTGCAGTATAAAATCTTGTATGACAGGGGAAATGAATCACTATAAAAATTAGGCATAATTAGGTATGAGAGTGTACACTATGAGCCTGAAAGCTTCAGGTTTTCTCAAGATGTTATATCATGATGTATTTAAAGTGTTTTTTAAAAAGTAACTTTGAGGGCCAAGGATTTAGCTCAGTGGTGTTGCCACCTGCCTTACAAGTGCAAGGTCCTGAATTAAATCCCTGGTACCAAAAAAACCAAAACCAAAACCAAAACCAAAACTTAAAAAAAAAAAAAAGAAACCTTTTACTAGGCTCAATTTGAAAATAAAACATTTTCTCACTATTAAGTCATGAAATAAGGTTACAAAAATTACAGAAGACATTGTACTACAGATTGCTGAAATCACCCAATGACATTATTTAACTCAGAGGCATCAAGAGAGCAGTTCAGGGCCTGGGCATTTACAAAACCAAGGATCTGTGCCCTCCCTGTTCCATATTATGGATGAAAGCCTCTGCCCTGACTCGCCCCCAAGTCTAAAAGAGAGAGAGAGTAGCGTTTTCCACACAGGACTGTTAGGAGCTAAATGAAACAATGTATGGCAAATGCTCGGCAAGGTACTTAAGCATTTACTGATGCTTTGTTAGTTTTAAATGCTTTATCTTCAGTGAACTTAACTGTAGCAAGATTAAAAAAATGATAAAAGTAGGGTCCCAGAGCGCACTGGCACTGGCTCCCTTATATACGTAGGTGATTTACTGGCACCAGTCATCAAATTCCAACCCGAAGACTAATCTTGTTTTGTAACTTTTTTAGGAAACGATTTCCTTCAGCAGATACCACAGGCAGTGACCATTTACTTCAGCAGATACCACAGGCAGTGACTAATCTGCCTTCCGCATGGAAAGTTATAAAATGCAGACTGAGCTCAGCCTAACCATCCCATCAGCTGCTTCCTTCCCTGTGCTACAAGGTTCCTCCCTGAGAGCTAGACAGACTCTGCCCTCAGCCCCAGCCAATGACCACCATGGTCCTGGTCACAGCTGCTGCACCAACACAGCCTGGATGCCAGGTATCCTGAAGCCCAAGGCTGCACTTCTCTCTTACCAAAGCACCAGCCTCCTCCAAGAAGTAGGAAAAGATAACCTTCCCCATCCTACCCTTTAGCACAAGATTCTTTGGAGTGAACAGGGAGACATTTAAAAAAGAATGAGATTAAAGCATATCAACTTCTAATTTTTATCTTGATTAAAACTACCAAGGACAATAAAACACACACACCTTTTTATGTCACCTTCAGCTCTTTAACTCAGCAATGACAACTGGGGTTTTTCCTCTGTCTAATCTCACTGATTGGTATTTAAGTATGAGCAAAGGTATTACAAGCAGTATTCAAAGGCAGAAAAAATGTGAAAGTATAAATACCCATTATTTTATTTAAGATAATTCCTTTAAAATCTTATGATAAACAATACCTTCTCATTATTGTCAACTTAATAGCTGAGATACCTCAGGTAAGGGTTATTGGTCCCCAGTCCAGTTATTACTGAATGTTATCAATTAAGATTTCTATTTCTAGGGCCAGGGATTTAGCTCAGTGGTTCCGTCGCTTGCCTTGGAAGCGCAAGGACCTGAGTTCGATCCCTGGTACCAAAAAAAAAAAAAAAGATTTCTATTTCTGAGCCAGGCATAGTGGTGCACACTTGTAATCCCAGCGCTCGGGAGGGGAGGCTGAAGCTGAGGCAGGAGGAATGCCACAAGTTCCAGGCCAGCCTGAACTAGCAAAACCCTGTCTCAAAAACCAAAACCAAAATCTCTTCCTTTCTTCCTTCCTTTTTCTATCCATATCTGACACATGTGGTGAAAAAGGTCACTTTACTCAAAAACTTTTGTTTTTTAAGAACCAGGTTAACACATCACATTTTGCTCATGAGCACAAAATTTATAGTCAGTAGTTGCACATAAAGGGTTTATTTTAAATGTTTTAAGGATAGGATAGAGATACATCATAATTATAAAAATTACTTACAGAATTAACAGATTTATATTGTGTATACTTCTAAATGCAAAGAACAGGAAACTCTACACATTGTATAAAATAAAATTAAAATTAAAAATGAATTCAAGCTCAAAAGATGAGGTCATTTACCTAGTTTTAAAATGTGAACACGAAGACCTCTGAACTATACACATTCATCCAAACTGCACTAATGATGGAAAATACAAAGAGCGCAGCATTTCCAAGGAACCACAGATATTTCAACCATAATCAATTTGTTATAATAATTGTTTCTGTTTTTGTCTTTGGAGAACTTTCATTTTTTAAGACAATCATCTTAAGAGTGTTTTCAGGCACTACAATTTGTGACAATCAGAACAGTCTTCTGATGGGTCTACAGTGTTCAGAGATTCAAGCCCAATGCACTTCAAGGATTTGGCACATAAAACAAGAATAGAAATGAAATCTGGTTTAGAAGTAACTGTGATTTTTAAACAGTGCACAGTCCCTTCAAATGCTGCATGACATATACAACGGGAAAAATCACCTTCTGTTGGCACTACATTTGCTTCACCAGTGCATTTTTATCCTACAACCACTAGAACAGCACAGTAAGCAAATATACAGGAAACTGAAAACAAATAAAAATTAAAAAGAAAACAAAAAAAACCTAAATATCTTTAACATGCAATTTTAGTTACACTGAACATTCTACTTAGAATAGAGCATGCAAAAAAGGATGGTCTGCTTTTAAGGTTCTCTCTGAAAGTTTTACGTGGCAGCCTGACATCACACACGCACGCACACACAATACAATACTAGAGCAGGTAAATGAAAGGCCAATAAATTTTATACATAGATTCATGTCTTGTGTTGTCACAAGTCCCATGATAATTTTGGAAATTAATGCTGAATTCCTAGAACAGGAACCAACATTCAGATACCAGAAAAATGCAAGCATTGCATGCAGGTCTGAAACATGAGCCTAAAATGAAGCCCAAGACACATGGGCTCTGGAGCAGAATTAGTCACAGCATTAAATGAGGTGTAAGTCACCAAAAGAAAAAAGAATGGGGAAAAAAAGATGGAAAAATAACAACAACAAAAAACCCTTCCCCTTCCCTCAGCCCAAAAGGCAATAAATGGAACAATGATTAAAATCATCACCATGTTGCATTCCTCTAGAGACTGGGAGATTATGGGTATATTAAAAGTTGCTAAAGTTGCTTGCAGAAAAACCACAATGCAAGTTATTAGGTAATGCTAGAAATGTTTCAATTGACCCAACCCTTGGGATACTTTAAAAGGAGCTTTATTTTCAGCCTGAAGTCACTGCGCCACATTCTGCACAACCTCTGTGCATGCTGGACACACTCACCATCTCTCGTGCCACATGTCAGTATGGGCTCTGGGAGCCAGGCTCAGCTCTGAGATTTACATGCAGGGAAACAGACAGCAGATCTGCAGGACGACACCTGTTCACACACACAAGAAGCATCTATGACTGGGGCATCACACTGCTTTGAGGTCGCCCCTTGGTGAAGCTGCCCATGGTGAAGCACTGGGCACAGGACCACTACAGCTGGGGACAAAGAATTGATGTACTATGATCATATGGTGAGCAGTCATTACCATCCAAAAGCACAAGGCACAAGTCTTCAGGAAGGCAAAAATGGGCATCAAGCAAACCATACATTGTGAGGCCCTAAACTGGAATGATTGCTAACATAAAGGACAGCCCCCAAAGACATCGCAAGGACTTCAAATCCAAACCTCTGATGTTTAATAAGACAGCAAGCCCATGCAGGCTCTGTGCAAACCACAGGTCAGATTTCCCATCTCTACAAGACTGGTTTCCAATGCCACCTTTCTCCTGGTTGTCAAACCAACTTGTGGTTCTATTTCAGTTTTGAACAACCTTACAGGAATAACCCACAAAAGACTCTGGTGAGGGCCTGCTATTACACTGGCAAACCAACATGGATAAGTAGGTCTTCTATGGCAACGTATCATTGACATGCAAACCCCAGGGGCCACTGGAGGAAATGAACCCACATTAACAGTGCCCCCGGGGCAAGAACACACACTTGTACTACCACAAAAGACTGAGCTGTTTGTTATATGTCCAGACCTTTTTTGTGGGGCAAAGCTGGGGGGAAGGGATAGGGAAGGAGAAAAGAGGCCTTCTGACCATAATTATATACTAGCAATAACAGAAAAACAAAACAGAACAAAACCAAAAAACAGTTCCAGAGAACATATTAGAAGGCAACAATGCCATTCTTAAACTTACATTTTAAATACAAAAGCACTGTTCTTCCAGGAACTCACCACATACACACAAGCCATTGATGTACTGTTGCCTTTTAAATCCATGAACTAAAATCGATTACTAGTTTGTATAAGTAATGGGCCAAATGTGCCATCCAAGACACACCTATGTTATTCTGAGTGAACAAAGGACCTGGACTGAGCTAAAAAGTATTTAAAATTAAATGTAAACAAAACAACTTATAAAGTTTAGAATTAAAGGCAGCCTTTTACCCAGATTTCTCACCAGTCAACCAAATGTGGGTCATGAACTGTTCATAAGTAATTCATATTTGGACTTACAGTTTAAAGCCTCCAGATTAAAATAGGTGTTCTGAACTCCTGATTTTCAAAGTAACTGAACGTGCCTATGTGCTTCCTGTGCCCCAACTTTATTTTATTATTTATTTTTTGGTACCGGGGATTGAACTCGGGTCCTTGAGCTTTCGAGGCAGGGGCCGAAACCACCGAGCTAAGTCCCTGGCCCCCCAATTTAATTTTAAATGAAGAACAGGAATGTCCTAAACATGACCGACTTGTGTCAAGCACTCCGGTTAAACTGGAGAAAATTGAATCACCCCATCCCAATCCATGAGGAAAGGACTGCCAATGGTGTGTGTGTGCATGTGTGCCTCTGTGTGTGTGCGCACATATATACGGATACATATAGGTAGATACAGATACATATATCTCAAAAAAAGGCAGTAACAAAAATACCAAACTATGCTTGCATTGTGGCAGAATAAGACGGTGTTAAAGTGAAGGGGGGAAATGATTAAGATCTATTACAGATTTAAATGACTATGATACTAGCTTAACTTTTACCAAACTTGCCTGTAACTCCCCTCCCAACAGACAGACTTCTTTTAAGATGAAGAAGTTCTCCTTACACAAAATGCTTTGTGTTCACATCAATCTGTACTATTCAGAACAAAACCAGTTCTGCTGGCAGAGATTGTGGGTTCGCAGGGACATTTAAGCTTTCATTAAACTGGAAAGCAATCAAGTCTTTATGTCTACAAATTATACATTTAATAGTTCCACAAATTTGGCAAAGTTCACGATGACATCTAGGATGTTTTCACCAAATCGTAGACATAAATATGGAAATCATCATCAAACTTGATGAAATAGACGGATGGTTTGGCTTCTACTTGATGAATGACCATGCCAGTCCTTTTCGAGCCATCTTCTTTGGCATATTCCACTTGTTTGCCTACCAGGCTGTCCACAACTTCTCCTGGTTCCCTTTCTGCTGGAGGTGAATCATCTGTATTTATAAGAAAAAAAATTTAAATCAATCTTCAGGTATACACCTACTCATATATTTACTTTAATAATATTTACTTAAAAATTTTACGGCCAGGGCTTTAGCTCAGTGGTTCTGCCTGCCTCGCAAGCACAAGGTCCACTGGTACCAAATTTAAAAAAAAATTTTTAAACATCCTGAATCCATTACTGATTAGCTAGAACACCAGCTGGCCAACTTCTTCTTAAAGGGCAGTAACAGTAAATGTTTTGGGTTTGAGGGCCACATGGGTGTGTGATGTTCCAATAAAGTATCATTTACAAAAGTTTGCCAACCTCTGATTTAGGTATATATGTATATGAATAATTTAAAAAAAAATCACAGCCAACAATTCATTTGGGCCAGGTCAAAATATAGCTGTAATTACCGAAAAGTACGTCTGCCTTTCAATTTCAAAACAAACAATTCCTGCAGGGATAAGTGAGAATATGTTACTGATTCAAAATGCCTATGTAGTATCAGTTTTACTCCAAATCCTTAACACTTGTTCCCCTCAACTTCATTCCATCCCACATCATCTTCCTAACCCAGTGTTAAAATAAAAGAAATTTCCCAATCTTTAAAAACAGATGCCACCTGAACTCCAGCCCCAGACCAAGTGCAACAGAATCCCCAAGGGTGCCCAGGCACCAGCACTGTCTATAAGGGCCCCAGGAAAATACACAGGCCCATGACCTCTAAAGAAACATAACGACAGCAAAACACCATCAACACCACCAAAACAAAAGTAAAAGTAAAAGAAAGGGGTCTAGGTGGCTACAATTCTATTTTAATAAACTCTTTATAAGTTTTGAGTAACTTTAGGATTTCTCCTTCATAGTAGCAACAGCCTGTCTTCAGGTTGGGCAACCTGATGCTCCAGCTGCACAAAGTCTGTGCTATCTTGGCACAAGTAGTAGCAAGTAACCCTGTTTATTCTCACAAGTACAGTATCCTAGTGTGGATATACCTCACAGTATTTACATTAACAGCTGCTTGTCTCTTAATTGCAATACATTTTCTCATTAAACAACAACCTAGAAAAACTATTTTAAGGGCCGGGGATTTAGCTCAGTGGTGCTGCTGCCTACCTTGCAAGAACAAGGACCCAAGTTCGATCCCCGGTACCAAAAAAAAAAAAAAAAGAAAAACTATTTTGATATGTGGTACAGTCATACATAATACAAAAGTTAAATATCTGTACACAGTAAGTTCTTTTAAACAGGTTAGTGAGGAAAAAACTAAACTGAACTCTTCTTCAAAAAGTATCTGCCCAGGGCCAGGTGTGGTGGCTCATGCTTATAATCCTAGCACTTGGGAAGCAGGGGTAGGAGGATCGCCACAAGTTCGATGCTAGCCTGGACTACATAGTTAGTACAGAGCCAACCTGAACTACAAAGCGAGACCCTGTCTCAAAAATAAAAACAAAACAACCCCCCCCCCAATTATCTGCCCTCAACCTGGGTGTGACGGTGCATGCCTATAATCCCAGCACTCTGGGAGGCTGAGGCAGGAGGATTACAAGTTCAAGCCTGGCCTGGACAATTTAATGACTTAGTGATATCCTGCCTCAAAATCATGTTAAATTAAATTTTAAAAGGGCCAGAGATATGGCTTAGTGCGAAGGCCCTGGGTTTAATCCTCAGTATTTGGAAGGGACAGGCAGAGGGACAGAAAGGCAGTCAGAATTAATGTGCAAATGATCTTGTACTTTGTAACAGGCTACAATACTTGTTTTGACAGGATACTTCATTATGAAAATGTTAAAAATGAACGTCACAGCTGGACTGCGGCACAAGCCTATAATTCAGCCTGTCTCTAAAACAACCACCACCACCATCAACAACAAACAAACAGAAAAAAGGGATTGGCTTCTAGCTCAGTGCAAAGGCCCTGGATTCAATCCCGATCCCAAACTTCACACAGGTTAGAGAATTGCTTTGAAGGAATGCTCTTAATTACATTTCTCAGCATAATTTCCATTGTTATCCCCCTTTGAACAAATAAATATACTCAAACTTCAAAAAAATAACAACTAAGAAATAGATATTCAAGGTCTGTTGAGCTTACTGGTAGGTTTGTTTAAAAAAATAAAGCAAAAAAGAATACAGATGGCTGTCATGCTGCTAACATCTGAGCTACGTCCATTAGCCACATTTCTCCAAGGTCAGGCAGAGACCCATGTGTTTGAGAACACTATTTATATTCAGTAGTTTAAAAAATAACAGCCTTGGGCTGGGGATTTAGCTCAGTGGTTCTGCCACCTGCCTCGCAAGAACAAGGACCCAAGTTCGATCCCAGTACAACAACAACAAAAACAACAACAACAACAACAACAACAACAACAACAAATAATAGCCTTATCCAAAACTGAAATTACAAAAATTATTCCATTCACAATGGCATCAAAGAGACTAAAAATATTTTATCAAAGGAAACGCAATGCTTATACTTATGAATATTACAACGCATTGTTGAAAGAAATCAAAGATCTCAAATGGAAAAATATTCATGGAGTCAAGACTTAGTGGTTCACACCTGTGGCCCTAGCTACTTGAGAGGCTGAGGCAGGAGGATCACTTGAACCCAGGAATTTGAGACTATCCTAGGCAACAAAATCCCGTCTTTAAAAAAAAAGGGTGATTTAAAAATTCATTTGGAATTGTATGGAACCCAGAATATCCAAAGCAATCCTGAAAATGATCAAAGTAAAAGCCTCACATCTCACAATTTAAAAACTTATTGCGAAGTAATATAATCAAGACAATGTGGGATTTGCATAAATGACAGACCTATGGAACAGAATTGAGAATCCAGAAATACACTGAGATATCCATAGTCAACTGATTCTCATCTATGGCTCCAAAACTTCTATGACAAAAGGAAGACTTCAAAAACTGGTGCTCAGACAATTGGACAGCCACAAGTAAAAGAGTGAAGGTGAATCTTTACTTCATATAATAAAAATTAATTCAACATGTATAAAACTCTTAGGAGAAAACACAGGGGTAAATCATCAAGGATCTGGCAAAAGATTCTTAGATGTGACAACAAAAACACAAATGACGAGAAAACAGACAAATTCAAAAGTTAAAAACTTTTGTGACTCAAAGAACATCATCAAGAAAGTGAAGAGACAATCCACAGAATGGAAAAGAAAATTGCAAATCATATTATCTGATAAAGGACTTATATCTAGAATACTGACTCACAATCCAATAATAAAAGACAATCCAATGAAAGAATGAGCAGGAGATCTGAACAGACACCTCATCAAAGATACATAAATAGCCAATAAGCACATGAAAAGATCCTTCTGACATTATTAGTCATCAGGGAAACACAAATCAAAATCAAAATGAGATCACACAACATACTTACTGGTAGGATAGCTAAAAATCAGATAACAGCAAGTGCTGGTGAGAATGTGGAGAAAGCACTTACTTTATCTGTTTTTGTTTTGTACTGGAGATCGAACTCAGGACCTTGCACTTGCAAGGCTGGCAGCCGTACCAATGAGCTAAATCCCCGGCCCAAAAAGCAAAACCCTAATATACTGCTAGTAGGGATATAGAATGGTATAGCCATTTTGAAAATTAGTTACCACAATGACCCAGCGTTTCCACTCCTAGGCATATACTTGGGAAAATTAAAACAACTATCCACAAAATTGTACACATATGTTCATAGCAGCACGGTCATAATAACCAAAAGACAGAAACAAACCAAATGACCATAACTAGATGAATGAATAAGCAATATGTAGTAGTCTATACAATGGAATAGTCATTGAAAGGAAGTACTGTTATTACACAATACAACATGGGTGAACTCTGAAAACATGCTAAGTAACAAGAAAGTAGTCATAAAGGACCTCATATTATATTATGTAATATGACAATAGGAAAATCTATACAGAAAGTAAATTATTAGTTGTTTAGGGCTGTGAGGAAGCAGTAGGGGGTATAAGGGAATGATGGTTAAAAAACGTTCCTTTCGAAGTGATGACAATGTTCTAAAACTGCACATATCTGCAAATACACTTAAAAACCTTGGACTGCACATGTTAAATGGTAACTATATGGTACAAGAATTATATCACAATAAAACTTTTGTTTTTAAAACCAGGCTTGATGAAACCAGGTCATACATACCTTCTTCTACCTTCCCCACATGAATTTAAATCATCTGAGACTACTTGCAGAAACAGCTAAATAGACTATCTCGTTACTACTGAAAGGTTCCCCAATTAACAGTTTTTTCAACTCAGTTAATTTCAAACTATTTACCGATAAAATGACAAACCTGTAGGATGAGCTTCAATATAATTCAGCTGAAGAGTACATAAAGTAAGAATGGCAATGACCTAACAGCTGTTAAGGATGGAATGGATTTATTTTGCTGTTCCCATGCCTTCAAATATTTTTAATAAATAACATAGCAATATTAATAAAATAAATTTAAAAATAACCATTGTATTATAGGAGCCAAGTAATTATCATCAAACTTTTCTCATCTAAAATTTAAGAGGGTAAAAACTGTGGAGTATTTGTGGATGGCTAAAAGAATAATCACACCCCCCCAAATTTAATGCATATGCAAAACAGTTAATTAAATATCTCAGAAGCCAAATTCCTTTTGAATTATTAACACTGAAAGTTACCAATATATACTTACTAGAATCGGCCATGATGCGAAGGTCGCCCTCTTTGTAATCATCTAGGAGCTGGTACATGTACAAGACAGGGTCTTTCTCATACGTGATGTAAAACCATGTGTTCATGACAGGTGCCCGTGCTAAGACCATTCCCCTCCATTCATCTTTAGAGCCATCCTCTGTCTCGAACATATGCTCCACCGCTTTACCAATCATTGTGTCTGCTAAGTGTGCATCACTAATTCGAGATGTTGCTGAGGATTTGAAAGAAAAAAAAGAAGGTTGAAAAGTGTTTCAGTGAATAATTCCTAAGACTGGACTTAATAAAGGAGACTACTTGAAGTTTTGTCCATGGACCGCATTAGTGAACATGAAAATTAAGCAGGAGGGCTTTAAGTACAACCACCAAATGCAAGCTCCTGGGCCACTGCCGAGATGGGCTTTGGCCCAAATCAATGGAACCTGTTTATTTATATTTTTATTTTTCTAGACTCTTCTGCTCTTGGTACAGTACTTAAATATGAATTACACCAAGGTACAGAGTGGATTTTGTTATTGTTTAACAACTAATTTTAAGTGTTGAGATAATTTCAGACAGAGCAGAATAGCAAAAAAAAAGAAGAGTTCCTAGGTAGAGTTCACCTTGCTTTCCTTCATGTTAACTGCTTATCTAAGCACAGAACATTTATTTATTTTGGGTTTTTTTTGAGACAGGGTCTCAGTGTATAGTTCAGGCTGGCCTTGAACTCACTATGTAGCCCAGGCTGGCCTCGAACTCAAGGCAATCCTCCTGCCTCAGCCTCCCGAGTGCTGGGATTACAGGCATGCGCCACCATACCCGGGTACCATAGAACATTTATTGAAAACTAAGAAATTAACCTGTTCAAGGTCTATGTTGTTTCTGTTGTTGCTTTAAAAGAAACTAAAGGTTTATTTCTCATCAACCTTATTTTGTGGTCTATTACAAAGGCATAGTTTTTACCCTATAATCTGTTCTTCATAGCAACCAGATTATTGTGAACTTTCCATGAGATGTGTTATTTAAAATGTCCCCATGCCAGAAAGAGGAACCCTGCTCCACTGCTGGTGGGAGTGTAGACTGGTGCAACCACTGTGGAAATCAGTATGGAGATACCTCAAAGAACTAGGACAGGAAGTCCCATTTGACCCTGCTATTCCCCTGCTGGGGATCTTCCCCAAAGAATTAAAAGAATCATACCACAGTGATATATGTGCACCCATGTTCATAGCAGCACAGTTTGTAATAGCTAAAACCTGGAAACAGCCCAAATGCCCATCAACTGGAGACTGGATAAAGAAAATGTGGTTCTTTTATAAAATGGAGTACTACTCAGCCACAAAAAATGAGAAATTAGAGACATTTATAGCTAAATGGATGCACATTGAGGTGATACTCTTAAGTGAAATAAATAGGACACACATGTATAAATACCGAATAGTTTCTCTGGTGTGAGAAACTGAAAGTGTAAATATGGACTAAATGTATAATAGGCAATGTGAAATAGGAAGAAAAGGGGCAAAGGGGAAGGAAGTGGGAGGGCTAGGGGAAAGGATAGAAGGGAATGGGATTAATAGGAGAAAATGGAAAAATAGGAACAAAATCTTTGTAAATAGGGAGGGCTGGAGGGGTTGAAGGGAGGGCTGGGCAAGGGTGAAAAATAAGAACCAAGAGAGACTATGTAAAGGTGCAAATTTCCAATGATGAATGTCATTATATTGTATACCTAAAATGTACCAATGATCAGAATGAATAATCGGTAATTCAAAATAGGAAGAAAAGGTCCAAAGGGGTAGGGGTAGGGGCAGGGGCAGGGGAAAAGAAAGAAGGGAAAGGAAAAATGCTGAGAAATGGAAAAAATGGAAATAAAGTCTTTGTAAATAGGGAAGGGTGGAGGGCATGAAGGGAGGGCTAGGAATGGGGAAAAAATAAAAACCAAGATGCATTATGTAAAGGTACAATTCCCAATGAGAAATGTAATTGTGTTGTATACCTACAATGTACCAATAAAAGAATTTAATACAAAAAAAGGACATTATGTAAAGGTATAAATTTCCAATGATGAATGTCATTATATTGTATGCCTAAAATGTATCAATAAAATTAATTTTTTAAAATGTCCCCATGCCTTCGTTGAATAATTTTAAAAACAACCAAATGCTCCCCAAGGTGCACCAGCCCTAGGCTGTCCTGCCTCACCCAACCCTAGGTTTTACCCTCTTCTTCCTTATTGCTCATACCTCCACCCTGTTCCTCTACTGCCTTTCTCCTGGATGACCCTGACGCTCCTCCCCATGCAGGCAAACTGTCCTCTGTAACACCAGCAGGAGGATCCTCCTGTAGCATGTTCCTTCCGAGGGCTCTCCAGGAGCACCTGGGCAAAATAGTGCCACCTGTCCTACTTATTGTATCTACACTCCTTAGTAATATTCCCACCATCTAAAGTTAATTTGCTGTATGAGTTTATTTATTTAGTGCCCGCACATCCCCAGGAGAGGCAGAGGCCTTCTGTTTCTGATACTTAGGCACAGTCCAGTATTTGTGGTAGGATTTCATCACGTGGCTGGTGTGATTTGAGAGCAAAGGCCTCCCTAATGGTACAGAGACAGCTCTAGCTTTACTCTTTTATCTTTTTAAAATAGGTAAAAGCCAGACTAGGTGGCACGTGCCTGGAATCCCAACACTAGGGAGGCGGCAGAAGGATCACCAAGTTCAAGGCCAGCCTGGGCAACTCACTGAGACCCTGCCTCAAAAAATAAAAAGGGGGGCCAGGGATTTAGCTCAGTGGTGCCGCCCCCTGCCTCACAAGCACAAAGATAGGAGTTCAATCCCTACTACCAAAAATAAAAAAATAAAAAGGGCTCAGAATAGCTCAGTGGTAGTGTTCCTGGGTTGGATACCCAGGACTGCAAAAAAGAACCTTAAAATACATTAGCATTCCTATTTTACTCATTCATCAGGCTTTTATCTCTATTAAACAAAACAAAAACAAGTTAATTTTTTTGATAAATGTACTGCTACTTGATTTAATCAGGATACCCAAACAGAATTCCCTCTGCGTAACACTAAAAACAAAGGTGGTTTTCCTCATGTTAGCACATCTCAGACTACTGGATCTCACAACTTCTTTATATTGTTAAAAATTACTGAGGACCTAAAATAGCATTCATTTATATGGATTATACCTGTCAATATTTACTATTTTAAAAAATAAAAATGAATTTAAAATACTTTAACCACATAATAATGCATTATAATTAAAAAATAAAGCCAGGCATAGTGGCACCCACCTGTAATCCCCAGCACTTTGGGAGGCTAAAGCAGAAAGATTTCAAGTTTGAGTCCAGCCTGGGCAATGCAGACTTTGCAAAACCCTATCTCAAAATTTAAAACAGGAATGTGGACAGGGAGTACTGGAGATGTAGCTTAGTATAAAAGCCCAGGGTTCAACCCATGGTACCACAAAAAAACCAAACCAAACCAAACCAAACCAAAACAAAACAAAAAAACCCACCCCTATACTTTCTAACTAAAATTTATTAAGAGCGGTATAATTTTTACAGTTTGGCAAATCAATGTCTAGCTTTAAAAGAACAATTGGAGCTGGGGATTTAGCTCAGTGGTTCCACCACTTGCCTTGCAAGTGCAAGTTCCAGAGTTTGAGCCCCAGTACCAAAAAATATGTATATAAATTATATATAAAAAAAATAAAAGAACAATCTGTCTTATCAGCTTCAACATTTAACCTGTTAAGATACTTTTTAATCTGACACACAATCCAGCCTCCCAAGGATATGCTGATAAAGAGTATTCTAATTGTCTTTAGGGTAAGCCTGGATAGTCTTTTTTGAAACTACATCAAAAATCAACAACTGGCAGCTCCCTGAATGTTAAATGCAACACAGAATCTGAAACAACTACCAATAAACTTGACATAACAATTATATTAAAACCTTTGTCTCTTGAAAAAAACTCTAACAGCTCAACAACAAAATAACCCAATTTTAAAAATGATCAAAAGGGCCATGGGCCGGGGATTTAGCTCAGTGGTTTCGTCGCCTGCTGCGCAAGCTCAAGGACCCAAAAAAAAAAGGGCCAGGGATTTAACTCAGTGCTGCCACCACCTGTCTCATAAGTGTAAGGTCCCGAGTTCAATCCCCGGTAACCGCCCCCCCAAAAAGATCAAAAGACTCGAAGAGCTATTTCTCCAAAATGATATACAAGTGGCTAACAAGCATCTGAAGGATGCTCAACATGATTAATTGCAATTCAGAACCCTAAGGTATCACCTCACATCCATTAGGATAAATAATTACCATCAAAAAAGGAAAAGGAAGAAGGAAGGATGAGGAAGAGGAGAAAAGTTGTTTTGCAAAGTGTTGGAGAACTGGAGCCCTGGTGCACTGCTGGTGGGACTATAAAGAACCATGGTGCTGGGAATCAAACCGTAGGCAAGCACGCTATCAACGAGCTAAACCCCTGGCAGGTCTATAAAATGGTGCAATTGTAGAGGAAAACAGCAGGACAGGTCCGTTTATAAAATTCAAATTAGAATTACTATATCCCATTTCCGGATATATATCCAAAAGAATTGAAAAGAGGCTTTCAAGTAAGTACTTGTATACCCATGTTCATACAAGCACGTCTCACAATTTTACATATAACAAGAAGCAAAAACAACTCAAATGTCCATCGGTGGATGAATAGGAAAACAAAATGTAGTGTGATTGGAACACTATTTTCAAGCCTAAAAAGAGAAGGAATCCTGTGCTATTACAGAGATGATCCTTAGGTACATTATGCTCAGTGAAAGAAGCCAGTCACTGAAAGTCAAATCTTTGTTTCTGGTTCTTTGAGACAGATCTCACTATGTAGTTCAGGCTGGCTTTGAACTCACTGTGAAGCCAAGGTTGGCCTCAAATTCACAGCAATCCTCCTGGCTCAGCCTCTTTTTTTTTTGGTACTGGGGATCAAACTAGGGCCCTTGCGCATGCGCAGAAGGCAGCGAAACCACTGCACTAAATCCCCAGCCCCTGAAAGTCAAATCTTGTATGAGGTACCTAGAGTAGCTAAATTCCTAATTGAGACAGAAAATACAGAAAGTGAGCACTGGGAGCTAAGAAAGAAGGAAGCAAAGGGGAGATGCTATTTATTGCCTACAGAGTTTCATACTGCAAGAATAACGAGTTCAGAAAATTTGTTTCACAACAATGTGAACATACCTACCCTTACTGAATTGTACACTTAAAAAATGGTTAAGATACTTTAATTTTTTACCATTATTTTTAAAAAAAGTCAAGTCTTGCCAGACATGGTGGAGCATGCCTGCAATCCCAGTTCTCAGGAAGCTGAGGCAGGAGGATTCCCACAATTCAAGGCCAGCCTAGACTACATATTGAGTTCAAGGCCAGCACGACTTACATAGGGAGACTCTGGCTCAAAAAACAAAAACAAACACAAGAGGCAGAACAAATGTAAGATCAAGGCCACCCTGGGGAATTTAGTGAGATTCTGTATCAAATTTTTTTAAAAAGGGTGAGACAATAGCTCAACAGGAGTGCACTTGCCTAGCATGCATGCTAAAGCCCTTGGATTCAATTCTCAGGTACTGCAAAAACAAGGAAAAAAACCAAACCAAAACAAAAAATACACCAAACAAGCCAAAAAAGTAAAAACTGTTTAAAGTATAAAAAATTTAAATCTAAGGAAAGATTTTTGTGAAAACTAAAGTGTTTATAGAGGAGGAATAAAGATTTAGCATTTGCAGAAAAAAAAAAAAGATTTAGCATTTGCAATCTAAAAGGAAGGTTAACAAAGTAACTTGCTGTATGACAAAGAGTTATTAACTTGTTGGGGAAGAAACTTTTCCCAAGCATACAATGATACAGTGTGAAGGAAAAGAGGGAACTCGCAACTCCTCCTCTGACAATTTGACCCCCAAATTCTTGCCCTCTAATTCTAGATCTGCTCAAACTTTATTTTTTTAATGGCATAGGTTTGACAATTCAAAAAGCATAAACCTGTATTTTCAGCATTACTATAATAAAAATTTCAAAATAAATATCCTTGAGAAAGTAACATTAACTTGGGTGTACCCACCTTATTTAAAACTAAAATTAACTATTTAACTTAGACTTTTATGATTTAAGGAACATTTGCAAGGCTAAATTGATAATATATGACACAAAAGAAAAACCAGCCATTCACTTCCACAACCACTGTTCAAACACACATGATAATAAAGCTCATGTTTTGGGTGCTTACATTTAGCTCAAAGAACAGACAATTATCATTTATGTAATACATACAGATTCAATGCACATCAAGATTCTAACATAAATGCATAAAAGCTTTTTCATAGCCACTGCACCTAATGAAATCAACATAGAGTGTTTTTGACTAATGATTATCTTACCTATCAGTCCAGATAATACTGATCAAAAATGTCAGAAATAACCATATGAGAAATTATTAGTTGTAAACTTCTTGAGGAAACATTTTACATATCTTTATAGCCATCACAATTTCTTGAACTGTGCTTTCAGAACATCTGCTTTGGATAAACTTTTGTGGTTCTAGATGATTGTAAAATAGGTTTATCAGGGGACCCTGAATTCCAATAAAAGTATAAACACCAACAATGTTTTTAAAAAAGCATCTATTTCTCTTATCACTTTTAAAGCAATAATGCACAAAAAGTAAAAAGAACTTACCAACTCTATCGGGGAGGACTTCGAGTGCAGAAACTCTTTCATCTTTATTAAGTTCTAGTCCATAAACACAGTCAAATCCATCATACTTTATAAGATACAAAGAAGGATTTACGGGCACCTGGTCCAGGACAGTTCCCTTCCACTGGGTGACAGGGCCGTTACCCTCTCTCCACCCATGCTGGATCCTGCAGCCTACGATGTTCCGCCGGGGCTGAGACACAGGCTTGCTTGGCCCCACACTGCTCCGATGTTTTCTGTATTCATACACATACAAGGTATTATCTCACAAGTATGCACAACTAGATCCAACAGAAGCACTGGCTAATATAACCTTTACAGACAATCCCAAGGAACATGCAAACTCCTGTTTGCCACACTCCTACTTCAAGGGACTCAATGTTCTCAGCTCCTACCCCCATCCACAGTGTTCTCTGGTGAAGCCATGTCCAGCAACAAATACGTAACATGGTTCATTAGCAACAGGAGCATGCTAGGTACTTGAACTGTGTACAGGCACAAAACACTACTCATCAACAGGAATGAAAGCCATACTCCAAACACCAGTTTTCAGCTTTTTCAGATCTCTTTAATTCAATTAACTAGGAATTCCCTGAGTTAAAGAAAAAGGGTTGATCAACAATAACTATATATGCATATACTTTATATGATACTATGACTGTTAATCCAGATATGTCAACTTCATTAGATTAAGAAACGCCCAGCATGTTAGTAGAGCACACTTCTTGGTACATCCAGATGGGTCACTGAGGTCTGGTCTTTGTACTATAAACCCAAGAATGCCCTGACCATTTCTCTTTGGCACTGATCCTCTGGCTCTGCTTCCTGGCCACCATGAATTAAGTTTGCTCTGCTTGGTCCTTGCACTGTAAGGTTTCTGCTTTGGAGCTTGATGACCACATACTAAATCTCCTGAAACCATGAGCTACATTAAACCTTTCTTCTTTTAAATGGTGGGTGTCGGGTATTGTGTCTCAGCAATAGGAGAGTTAACACAGAACACTGGTACCAGAGAAGTAGGGTCATTGCTATATGGCTGTCCCTGACTACATGGTTTAAAAGCCTCTGGAACTGGTTTTCTGGAGGAGTATGGAAAGGTTTGGAGATGTAAACTAGAGAGGTTTAGACTGCAGTAACCATAGCCTGACAGGTGATTCTGGTCACAGCCCAAAAGATCAGAATGCTGACAGTAAAAGCCAAGTTCAGGAAGTTTCAATTGGGAACTAGGAGTCTACATTTAGATTTAAATCAGGGGCCATGTTGTTACTCTGGAAGAAAACTTGTCTAGGGCCGGGGATTTAGCTCAGTGGTTTTGCTGCCTGCTGCGCAAGTGCAAGGACCTGAGTTCAATCCACGGTACACAAAAAAAAAAAAAGAAAGAAAAGAAAACTTGCCTACATTTTGCCTATGTTCTAAGACTTTGCAAGGAGCATGACTTTAAAGGTGATGTACCAATCTGGTAGAAGAAATTTCAAGACAGGCTGTTGCATGGATACTCCCAGCTGTTTTTAGCCAGATTTATAAGAATTAGAGGCAAAAGGCACAGCAAAGATTTTTGGAAAAACTTAAAATGATGGCTCACAAAGAACCATGTGTAAAGTTGGGGCCAAAGAAGGCATAACAGCTGAAGAGACCAACACCATTAAAAACAAAGCAAGTACTCTGTATAAGGATAAGAGGACAGATGGCTTGAGGGCATCTCAAGAATCAGCAAGACCCCACTTATGTCAGGGTGAAGGATGCAAAAGTACAAAATTTTGTCTTGAAAAGATTGTCCCTGAGATTCCTGCTGGAGAAGGGCTTCCTAGAGAACTGGCTTTCTGGGATTCATTTCACTCTGCTAGTCATCAAGGTACTCAGAGGCTGCTGCAGACATAGGCAAAGGGGGTCCGGTACTGCTTGAGCTAGCAGGTGACTCTCACTTTTGTCCATGGGATGCTGGTTTTATTGGCATGCACAATACAACAGTTGTAGAGTCAAAGAAGTTTCCAACCAAATTTCAAAGAAAGGCCTGGGGGACCAGGCAAGGAATCCCCAGAGGGCAGTGAATGAAGCTATGAGAATGAAGCCAAAGGTGCAGTGGAGACACCAGGAAATCTAAGGTGGCAGGAACATGGAACATCTGTTAGGGAAAGCTTCAAGTCATGAGCAAAGCCAATCCAAAGGGCTGGGGCAGCCCATACTCTCTGGAATTCACATCTCACTTCCATGTACCCCAGATATCAGACATGGGGCAATAGGACTTAATGCTCAGCCTGCTGAGTTTTGGTCTTGCTTTGATCTGATTCTTTTCTCTCTTCCTCTCCTTTAGAATGGGAATGCTTACCCTGTATCATTGTACATTGGGATTATATAACTTGCTTTTTATTTTTACAGAGGTTCACAGCTAAGAATTTGTCCTAAGTTGGACTTGAAAAATCCTGGAAATGTTGAGACTTTAGGGGAGAGATTATTGAGTTTCTGGTTCAAAGTGGGATAGTTGTATTACATCAGGTGAAATTATGAACTTGTTATTTTCTTTACCCATAAAGTATGGTTTAGGGAGATGTGTTTGGATGTGAAGTTGACAAGGGGTAGATGGTGACTATTATTATTCCTGATATGTCAACTTCACTGGATTAAGAAACACCTAGCAGATTAGTAAAGCACACACCTGGGGGTCTCTGGGTGGGTCACAGAAGAGTGGTCTTGAGTACTATACACCCAGATGTATTGCCCACTGCGTGATTTTTCTGGCTCTGCTTCCCCAGCACTATGAATTATGCAGCTTTGCTCTGCCTCGTCCTACCATGAGGTTTCTGCCTTGGAGTAGGATGATCATCTAAATCTTTAGAATCTTCTAAAACCATGAGCTAAATTAATTCTCTCCTCCTTAAAATTGTAGGCATCAGGTATTGTGTCTTAGGGACAGGAAAGCTGACTAACACGGATACTCATCTATTTCAAGCCTAAAAGAAATGTATAACAGGGCTGGGGATCGAGCTCAGTGGTTTCACCACCTGCCTCGCAAGCACAAGGACCTGAGTTCAATCCCTGGTACCAAAAAAAAAGAAAGTAAAAGAAATGTACAACTATTCAATCTCACCTAGTACAACACTCTAAAATTTCTGTTCCTACTGATTTAAACAGCATGAATAAACCAGACACTTAACTTTTTTTTTTGGTACCAGAGATAGAACTCGGGTCCTTGCGCTTGTGCAGCAGGTGGCAAAACCACGGAGCTAAATCCCTGGCCCCTAGACACTTAACTTTTACTAAAATTCGAGTTCAAGTTGGCTTATAACAATGTGTAATACCAGTATTATTCTCTAAACACAATCTTAGTTACATAATTTATGACAAATATTTAATGTAATATTACAAATTATTTAAATGACATCAAATTACATTGTTTCTAGAATATGAGCAACTAAAAAATTTATACATAATGCTTATAAACAATATATCAGCTCCACATCAGGAAAAAAAATCATTTCACCTTCAAATCTGAAGACAAAGGACAAGATTTGGTCTAGATGCGAGCAGAAGGCCCAAACCAATCTAAAAGATGCTGATACATGCCAAGAGTGGAAAATGATGAAAGCAGAAACGAATTCCCTTTCAGTTGTATGGATAAAAAGCTCATCTAGTGAACCATAAACACAAGTACTTAACACCCAACATGTAACACAAATATTTTAAAGAACAATTTATTGCACGTTGTAATATTTAAAGCTGTACTATATACATTCTAAGAATAATTTATTCTGGACCAGTTACATAAATTCAGCCAAGTTAGGTGTCTTGGAGGGATGGCAAAGAGAACTTCTTACAAACATGAGGGGACACTACTGCCATCAAGAAGTATTCACCCAGAAGGGAGACTTAAAAAGGTGCCCCATTAAAAAAAGAAAAAACAAAAACGGTGCCCCATGGTTAAGTGCAGGACTGAGAGGCCAGAAAACCACTGGGCTGCTTCTGCCCTTAGGGCACCTGAGTGAGAATAAAATCCTCAGCACAGTAGGATTAGAGGGCAGAGGAAATGAGGGGAGATACCAAAAGGCAGATCTCAAAAAGGTGACAGAGATGGCTATTGGGAGGGATTTTAAATATGTCCCAGAAAAATAGCAGAGGCAGGCGCAGAGCTCTGAAGATAGAAAAGCCATCCTGGGATCTCACCCCTTCTTACTTACATGAGCAGATTGAGAGGATCAACACATAACAGTGCAAGTTTAAATGCTCATAGGCAGCAGTTTGTAGCACATCTTTGCCTCCAAACCACATGAACCAACTCCATAGAACAAATCTGTTTTGTATTTATCTCCCTCTAGTTTTGTTTACCTGGAGAACCTTAATACAGGAACATATACCAGAAATAGAAAAGCTCAGAAATGACACAGCTAAGATGTAAGAAAAGAAGCAACTAGCAATTTTTTAAATACAAAAACATTAAAGAAGACTAAATAGAGGAACAAGAGGAAATGATAACATGAGAGCTTATAAAGGGAATAGATGATGAAAAGGATACAGCTGGAGTAAAAATGAATTCAGAGATGGTGACAGATACAACATCTATGTAATAGAAGTGCCTACAACCTAAAATGAAAGAAACAGGGAAAAAAGGTGTTAAAAACCGTAATTCAAAAAAATTTCCTAAAGTAAAACTTGAACAAATGTAACCCATGGGAAATCTACCCCAGAATGACTAGTGTTAAGTCTTATCTTAGTAAATGGATTTAAAAGAAAATAACACCCTTTGGGCTTTCAGGCAAAATGATCAAATTATGTATAAAGTAAATAAAATCAGATTCCGGCAGCAACAATTTATGCCAGAAGACAATGGGGTTAACAAGCTTACTGTTCTCAGGGGAAGAACATTTTCAAAGAAAATGTAAGCCAAGGATTTTATAATCAGCTAAGAATTATATGCTGACCTTCAAGTACAAAGGTCCCACAGATAAAACTGTTATCAATGTGTAAGAACATACGGAATACTGTTCTCACGAATGCCTCCTGAAGAAGTTACAGGCTCATGTGCCTCAAATAATCAAGGACTCATACACAGGCTTCAGCACAGGAGAGACAGAAACAATCCATGTATTTAACTGTAAAACAAATGGTGGGGACCAGGCACAGAACAATACAGCTGCCTCTCAAGCAATGCACGAGTGGTTAGGAAGCCAACCCTCCAGCACAGTCAACTCTACACTTAACCACAAGTAACCTGCTGTTGACCAGAAGCCTTACTAATACAGTC